TAATGCCAGCCTCTCTTTTTACGGAATCTCCCTTGCCCTGGGCCCGGCATTCAGCTTTGTAACCTTCAGTGGCACCCGTTAGCCAGCCTGGCATGGCTAAATGGGCACTTGGCAGCTTCTCTGCAACTCCCTGAGATGTGAGGAGACCAGGGTGAGTCAGGCTGCTTAAGGAACGGCACCTGTTTGGGAGGGGGAGGGGGGTAAATGTCATTCCTGGAACCGAAGGTTTATTGGTCTGTGAGGTCATCTTGCACAGAACCTTCATCCAAACCAAGCTTAATAGAAGTGACTGTAAGAGGGATCTTGGAGTCGTAGTGGACAGCCAGCTGAATATGATCTAACAGTGTGCGGCAGCCAAAAAAAGCCAATGCAATCCTAAATTGCATTAACAGAGGGATACGATCAAGATCGAGGGACACGATGGCTCCGTGGCTAAGACGCTGAGCTTGTCAATCAGCAAGGTCAGCAGTTCGGCGGTTCGAATCCCTAGCGCCTCGTAACCGAGTGAGCTCCCGTGACTTGTCCCAGCTTCTGCCAACCTAGCTGTTTGAAAGCACGCTAAAAATGCAAGGAGACAAAATAGGAACCACCTTTGGTGGGAAGGGAGCAGCGTTCGGTGCGCCTTTGGCGTTTAGTCATGCTGGCCACATGACCACGGAGAACGTCTTCAGATAGTGCTGGCTCTTCGGCTTTGAAACGGAGATGAGCACTGCCCCATAGAGTTAGGAACGACTAGCACATATGTGCGAGATGAACCTTTACCTTTACAATCAAGATCAAGTGAGGTCCTAATACCACCCTATAAAGCTGTAGTAAGACCACACCTAGAGTACTGCATCCAGTTTTGGTCACCACATTATAAAAAAGATGTTGAGACTCTAGAAAAAGTGCAGAGAAGAGCAACCAAGAGGATTAGGGGACTGGAGACTAAAACATACAATGAATGGTTGCAGGAACTGGGCATGGCGGGTCTAGTGAAGAGAAGGACCAGGGGAGACAGGATAGCAGTCTTCTAATATTTGAGGGGCTGCCCCAGAGAGGAGGGGGTCAAGCTATTTCCCAAAACACCTGAAGGCCAGACAAGGAATAATAATGGATGGAAACTGAACAAGGAGAAATTCAACCTGGAAATAACGATAAATTTTCTGATAGTGAGAGCAATGGAACAGAAGTTGCCTTCGGAAGTTGTGGGAGCTTCATCACTGGAGACTTTCAGGAAGAGACTGGACTGCCATTTGTCAGAAATGGTGTAGGGTCTCCTGCCTGAGTAGGGGGGATTTTACTAGATGACCTATAAGGTCCTTTCTAACTCTGTTCATCTGTTATCTGGAGACCAGAAGAAGTCAACTTTTCTTCTCAGAGGGGACATTGCTTGGTGCAGAGTTGAAGGAGGAAGAGGTCCAGGATGGTCAGACCTCTCCTGGAGGCTGCTTATAAAAGAGGAGAAACCAAGAAAGTCACTTTTAGCTCTAAGGAGGAACTGGTGATTCCCAACCTTGGCTGTGAGGTCACCAAAAGGAGAACCTTCTCAGATCTCCTGCCATCAACACCCCGTCAGAAAGCGAGACACAACTTGGGCTTCACAATCCTTACCTTTCCCCATAATACCTTTTTGGTCTGTCTTTTTGGTAAGGAACAACAGGCAATCTGCAGGTGCCTAGAACACATCTTGGTTGACCTCCCTTTGAAAATGTTCCCAGCCTGGAAAAGGAATATGAATAAAAGAACATAGATTAAGTTTATCCAGATGACACCCTGTTAAAGGAAGGAGGGGAAAGAGGGAGAAAATAAAATAGTATTAATGTACAAATATATGTTTAAAAGATTTTACATGTGGAATTATCATCATGTAAAATAAGAGGAGGAAGAGGGGATTTAAGAGTGTTATGTAAATATAGAACCGGGTTTGCCCAAACGCCATCCCCAAAATACATCAGATCAAATAAAATATGAAAACTCATCAAGGGAAGGAGGGAAAGGAGAGAGAAGGAGAGGGAAGAGGAGAGGAGAAGAAATGCTAAGGGAGGGAAAGAAGAAAGAGTAAAGGAGAGGAAGGAAGGAAGGAAGGAAGGAAGGAAGGAAGGAAGGAAGGAAGGGGAAGCAAGAGTAGGACAGAGGGGAGGAAGAGAAGGAAGAGGGGAGGAGTAGGGAGAGGAAGAGGAAGAAGAAAAGAGAAAGGAGAGGAGGAAAAAAGATGGTAGAGAAGAAGGGAGGGTAGGAGAAAGAGAGAGGGAAGAAGACGTAGGCTTGTTGTAATATAAGATGGATGGACGGGATGGCAGGAAAGCAATCTCGAATATATTATTATATTGTTAGGAGAAGAAAGGAATTATAAATGTTAAAGGATAATGTATAACACGAATAATACCTATGAGAAATGTGTATTTGTGAAATGTAAGTATGCATGAGTAAGTAAAATAAAAAAAAAAGCTTTTCAAAAAGTAGTTTTTGGATGTCCACGTTGGGAGACAGACAGAATCGGCTGCCAGCCGTGCCTAAAAATGCTTGTTTATGGTGGATTGTCCTTTGTTCATTCATCCGAAGAGGCTCTGTGCCAAGACATTTTGGGTGCCACGGTCTTGCTCCTATTGTGCCGCTTTTTTCTGTTGTTTGTTTTAAACAAAGCTTGCACAGATGAGTTGTGTCAGAGGGTGATTTAGTGCTCTCTGTGCAGAATAATAACAGAATTTTCCCAGCTTCGAATACCTTCATCCTTCTCGGTCCCTTTCATTTATTTATCTAGAATGAAACCTTTTCACATGGGAAGCGGTGACTTTGGGGGGGCTAAGACGCTGAGCTTGTCAATCAGAAAGGTGGTTGTGTTTTCTTAGCACGTAATTAACTAATTTGGGATTGAGGGAAAAGTCCTATAAATAAATCTTATTAATAAATCATTGTTTAAAGACGGCTATAAAGGTATAACATTGTGTGGGCCTGTGGAGAGGAGAGGTGAGATAAGCAGTAAATAACTTTTACAATAATAACAAGGAAATGTTAATGGATAATATTTAATGATACATACAGGTGTGTTATGGTGGGGGGGATGCTTAGATATCTTACTTCACTGAATTTCTT